AGGATGTTTTTCATAGCAGGGTTGGCTTTGGCAAAATCCTTTAGCTTCTGTTTATCCTGGAATGTTTTGATTACACCATTGTATTTGATTGACAGCTTTGCTGGGTAGAGTTCTTGGTTGGCAGTTGTTGTTTTTTTTTTTTTCAGGGTTTTATATATGTAGTAATAAACAGTTCAGGGCCCGCTGTGGCCGTTTTGCTCTGCTGTTTGGTTTTAAGTGGAAACTGTCTCTTTAAATTTCTAGGAGATCTGTGCGCATATGTAGTAGAACCCTCCAGGGGTGGGAGTGGACTGTCCACTAGGTCAGGCATCCCCATTAGTCACCAGAATGGAGGTGTGCAGACAGCGAGAGACCAATGAACAGAAAAAAAAAAAAAAAGAGGTCCACACCTTTATATCCGAGGTTTTGTCAGGCATCCGTGGCTGCTCTGATCCTTCCCCCGCTTGGTCTCACCCAAGATGGTGGCTCCAGAGCAGCTGAGCATCTTGAATTAGAAAGCAATGGATTTCTTGCTTCTGCTACAAATTCCTGTAGCTCTAAGCCTTCCAACCTTCTAAATATTCCTTTATATGTGGTTCAGAGTTCTGGTGCCATCCCCTGAGCCTGCTTGGTCTTGTATTCTATGTTGTTGGTGACGGAGCACCTCACTGCACATCTACCTGATCCACCATCTTGTTTGTTCTCTGTTTTCTGTTTTTTTGAACTTTGTTAATAATGCTGGGGTTGAGGATATCTCATTATTGTTTAGATTTGCATCTGTATACAGGGTTGTTTGGAGTCAGAACCGACTCCACAGCACTTAACCAACCAACCAATAGCTAATAAGCATTGGTGTGACGCTGTATGATAAAGCACTGGACCACAAGGTTGGCAGTTCAAACTCACCAGCCTCTCCTCGAAAACCTTACCCAGGGTTGCTATGAGTTGGAACCGACTCAACAGCACTTAACAACAACAATGACCAGTGATTTCGAGCATTTCTTATGTTTGTTCGTCACCTGAATGTCCTTTTTAGTGATATGTCTGTTCATATCCTCTGCCTGTTTTTTTGTCTTCATCTTGTAGTGTTGAAGCATTATTTAAATTTTAGAGAGTACTCATTCCCTTGTCTGATATGTCATTGTCAATTTTTTCCCCCCATCTGTGGGTTCTCTTTTTACTCTTTTGGTGAAACCTTTTGATGCACATAAATGTCTAATTTTTAGGAGGTCCCAGTCATCTATTTTGTCCTCTGTTTGTGAGTTTTCAGTTATGTTTGATGGTATATTTATGCCATGGATCAGAGCTCCTAAGTTTGTCCCTATCTTTTCACTGATGATCTTTATAGTTCTAAGTTTTACACTGAGGTCATTAATTCTGATTGAGTTCATTTTTGCATGTAGTGTGAGATGTGGGCCTTGTTTCATTCTTCTGCAAATGGATTTTCAGTATCAACAGCACCATTGTTTGAAGAGACTATCTCTTGGCTATTTAATGTGTTTTGGCCCTTTAGTCAAAGGTCAAATGACTGTAGGTGGATGGATTTATGTCTGCATTGTCAATTCTGTTCCATTAATTTATGTGCCTTTTAGTGTTGCAGTACCAGGCTGTTTTGACTAATGTGGCTATATAGGAGAGAAACACTACTTTGTTCTTTTTCAGTAGTACTTTGCCTATCCAAGGACTGTTTTCCTTTTCATATAGAGTTAGTGATTAATATTTTTTTAAAGTTTTTATTGTGAATTGAGTGATAGTTTACATGGTAGAACATCAGCTTTATATTCATCCAATCGTATTTCATTGCATTGCAATGATTACAATCCCCTCCATGCATCATCATTCAATAGCATTTGCTTCCATTCCCTCTGTTTGTTTTTGTTTTTGTTTTTTTTGCAGGGGTGGATGTACACCGAAGCACTCAAGAATATATAACCATTCAAACAATCAAAGGGTACGCCCTGCAAGACTGCCTCCCCCCCAGCCGCCAGCACACAGCCTCTCTCCCTCCCTGAGTTCCAGAGTCCCCAGCCGCTTCATCTCTCCATGTCATCGTCTCTGCCTCCATCTCTGGGGTCACTGCTTCTCTGGATAGGGTCCCATATTCTGCTCTTCTCCCTTGATAGTCCCAGGGTCCTCCGCTCCTGGACTGCAAAATCAAGCACTTCCCTCTTTTTGTTACAAAACGTCTATCTTTATATTTGCAGTACTCACAATCAGTCCTGGTAGCAATTATTCACTATTGAACAACAAGAGTCTTATCCCCATCTCCTTTGACCAGCCCCTTCCAGAGAGGTTGGAAGCCACTCGTTGGAGATTCTACCTTTCCCCACACTCTCTGAAACTAGGTTCCCTCTTGAAAGCTTGTAAGCTTCGATGCCTCACTAGCACCCCCATTTTGGGTAGCCAATGTCTAAGTTGCCCATCCCTGTCAACAATGTGTACCTAGAGGGTGGGAATGATCCTCGCTGTAAAGATTTGTTCCCTCTTTTAAGCTACAACATCCATAAGTATAGGTCAAGTTCATCAAATTGTTACAGATTACTCTTTTTTTCCCTCTTCTTTCTTCCTGTAGTCGAGTTCGGATCATCCAGCCATTGAAGCCAGGTCAGATAGGTACTATCTGCAAGTATGGGTGTTCTTGTACATCTCCCCTTACTTCACATCAGCTGGACACTTCACTCTCTGCTCTAGTCCTCTGTGGCCATGTCCCTGTCCCTGGGCCCAGGAGTCCCCAGGTCTCACCTACTGCTGGCCAACCAGGTCTCAAACCAGGTTGACAGGAGTCTATTGAATGTTGTCGGACTTAGCTCACATTTTCATTGCTGTTTTTCTCCCACTTCCCATTATCGGTAAACCAATATGCCTGCTCGTGAATTCCCCTTGAGTCTCAGTCTTGGAAGGGGGTTTGCCCTGAAGGGACCCCGACCGCTTGCCTTGATGAACAACTGATTAATTTTTCCATCTCTTAAAAGAATGATGTTGGATTGGATTGGGATTGCAGTATGTCTATAGATTGTTTTAGGTATTTTCACATTGTTATGTCTTCTTATCCATGACCATGATGCTCTGTTGTTGCTGTTAAGTGCCATTGAGTCAGTTCCAACTCATAGTGACCCTGTATAGGGTTTCCAAGGAGCAGCTGGTGAGCTTGAACCACTGACTTTGTGGTTCAAACCGACTTTGCAGTCTAGCTCACTATCCCACAGCATCACACCAGAATATGGTATAGTCTCCCATTTTTGTAAGTCTCTTGGTTTCTTGTAGTAGTGTTTTGTAGATTTCTTTGAGTAGATGCTACATTTTTTTGGTTAGACTTATTCCCAAGTATTTCCTCTTTTGAATGTCTGCTATAAATTGTATTGTTTAAATGGTATTGTTTACCAGATTTCCTTTTCAGAACTCTTAGTGTAAAGAATTTTTTTGAGGAGGGGGAGGGGCTGGGTCCATGTACTTTATTGATGGTATATGACAAGGCTGGGCTCTAAGCCTCTCCCCTTCTCCAGGGGATCTGGATGGAAACTGTGTGGAGGATGGGAGCTTCTCAGTGTGTTGGGGGATCGAGTTGGGGTAAGGACTCCCAGCAGCTCAGGGTCATTGCTGGGGCTGGTGGTCCAGGGTACCCTTATTCCTTGGAGGCCATGTGGACCATAAGATCCACCACCCTGTTGCTGTAGCCAAATTCATTGTCATACCAGGAAATGAGCTGGACAAAGTGGTCGTTGAGGACAATGCCAGCCCCAGCATTAAAGGTGGAAGAGTGGGTGTCACTGTTGAAGTCCCAGGAGACGACCTGGTCTTCAGTGTAACCCGTCTGATGCCTGATTCACTACCTTCTTGATGCCATCATATTGGGCAGCTTTCTCCAGATGGCAGGTCAGGTCCACGACAGACATGTTGCATGTAGTAAGGACCTGGGAGGCCATGCCAGTGAGTTTCCCACTCAGCTCAGGTATGACTTTGCCCACAGCCTTGGCAGTACCAGGAGATGCAGCGATCATGGCCATTACACCAGTTTCCCAGAGGGGCCATCCACAGTCTTCTGGGTGGCAGTGATGGCCTGGACTGTGGTCATGAGTCCCTCCACGATGCCAGAGTTGTCATGGATGACCTTAGCCGGGGGGCCAAACAGTTGGTGGTGCAGGAGGCATTGCCAACAATCTTGAGTGAGCTATCATACTTCTTGTGGTTCATGCCCAACACAAACATGGGGGCATCAGAAGAAGGGGCAGAGATGATTACCCTTGTGGTACCACCCTTCCAGTGAGCCCCCACCTTCTCCAAGGTTGTAAAGACCCCGGTGGACTCTATCTACAACTTACTGAGCACTAGCATCATCCCACTTGATGTTGGCAGGATCTCCTGGAAGACAGAGAAGAGCTTCCCATTAATGACAAGCTTCCCATTCTCAGCCTTGCGTGCCACTGAACTTGCCATGGGTGGAATCATACTGGAACATGTAGAACATGTAGTTGAGGTCAATGAAAGGGTCATTGATGACAACAACCTCCACTTTGCCAGAGTTAACAGCAGTCTTGGTGACCAGGCGCCCAATATTGCCACATCTATTGACTTTCATCTTCACCATCTGTCTCAGGGATGTGGCTGGGACTTCAAGAGAATATGTGGCTGTCTGTTCAACAGGGAGGGGTAGAGAGCCTGTGAAGGATTTTTGTATGTTGTTCTTGTACCCTACCACTTTGATGAATCTTTCAATGAATTTCAATAATTTTCATGCTGAATATTTGGTATTTTCTGTGTATGTTGTTGTTAAGTGCCATTGAGTCAGTTCTCATTCATAGTGAACTTGTACAGGGTTTCCAAGGAGCAGCTTGTGGGTTTGAACCGCCAACTTGACCTTGTGGTTTGAAGTCCACTGTAAATCCCACAGTATCACACCAGGAGTCCTTTGTATAGGGTCATATTATCTTCAAATAGAGAGTTTTACTACTTCTTTGCCAATTCTGATGCCTTTAATTTCCATTTCTTGCCTTATAGCTCTGACTGAGACAGCCAACACAATATTGAATAGAAGAGGTGATAAAGGGCATCCTTATCTGGTTCCTATTCACAAGGGGAGTTTTTCAGTTTCTTTCCACTGAGAGTGATGTTCGCTGTTGCTTTTGTATATATGCCTTTAATTATGTTGAGGAATTTTCCTTCTTTTCCTATTTTGTTCAGTGTTTTTGTCAGGAATGGATGATGGATTTCATCAAATGTTTTTTTCTGCATCAATTGATATGATCATGGTTTTTTTTTTAACTGTTGTTTTATATGGTGGATTACATTGATTGTTTTCTAATATTGACCCATTCTTCCATACTAAGTATGAATCCCCCTTTGTTGTGATGTATTATTTTTGTCATATGTTGTTAGATTCTCATGACTAGAATTTTGTTGAAAACTTTTACATATATGATCATGAGGCATATTAGTCTTTTTTAGTGATGTCTTTGCCTGGTTTTGTTATCAGGGTTATACTTGCTTCAGAAAATGAATTAGAGACTTTTCCATTCTTTTCTATATTCTGGAATAGTTTTAGTAGAAGTGGTATTAGCTCCTTTCTGAATGTTTGGTAGAATTCACAAATAAAGCCATCTGGGCCTGGACTCATTTTTGTTGGGAGTTTTTTAACGAGTTTATCAATTTCTTCTTTCATTATAGGTCTGTTCAAGTTTTCTACTTCAGTCTGTGTTAGTTTAGGTAGGTCATGTGTTTCTAGAAATTTATCCATTTCTTCTAGATTTTCAAATTTGGTAGAGTACAATTCTGTGTAGTATTCTGTCATTATACTTTTTATTTCCATTAATTCTGTTGTGACATCATCCATATAATTTCTTATTCATGTTTTTTGCATCTTTTCTTTTGTTAAATTTGCCAGTGGTTTGTCGATTTTATTAATCCTATCAAAGGAGTCCTGGTGTAGCACTATAGGATAAGCACTGGACTGCTAACTACAAGATTGGTTGTTCAAACTCACCAGCTGCTACTTGGGAACCCTATACAGGGTCACTATGAATTGTAGCCTACTCAATGGCATTTAACACAAACATCAAAAACCAACTTTTGTTGATTCTTAATATTGTTTTTCTGTTGTCTGTTTCATTTATTTCTGCTCTAACCTTTATTGTTTCTTTTCTTTTGGTGGTTGTAGGCTTACTTTGCTGATCTTTTTCTGATTGTTGGAGACGTTGAGTGAAGATGTTGATCTTGGTTCTTTTTTCTTTTTGGATGTGTGCTTTTCTTGCTATAAGTTGTCCTATGAGCACTGCTTTTGCTGCATCCCAAATTATCTGCACTGAGTTCATTTGGTTTGTGGGTTTTCATTTTCATTTCTGCTATGTTAATGTTTACTAATCCTTTTTTATTTTCCTCTTTTTCACTTTTATGTGAAGGTATATTAATATTCGAGTTTACCCTTTAATTTACTGTTTCACCACTCCCCCCCCCCCTTTTTTTAAACAGTCTGTTTTATCTTGACATATACTTGACTTCCTCACCATTTGGAAGTTCAGAGTCTACACTAGTCCTTCTTTTTACTTTGCAGTTGACTTCCTTATAAATTGATGTCTCTGATTCCTTATATTCAGCTCTTGTGGGTTTGTTTTACTTTAAATTCTTCTATATCTGGATTGAGTTCTGGGTGGAGTTGTCATGTACTGTAACCTCAGTTTGTGGCCTACTGTAGTTAGCTTAGTCCAGAGAACACCCTTTAGTATTTTTTGTTAAGTTGATCGATTTTTTACAAATTCCTTTCATTTCTATTTATCTGGAAATGTCCTAATTTTTCCATCATATTTGAGAGACAGCTTTGCTGGCTATATGATTCTTGTTGGCAATTTTTTTCTTTCAGAGTTTTGTATGTGGAGGACAGTGCCTTCATACCTGCATGGTTTCTGCTAAGAAATCAGAGCTTAGTCTTACTTGGTTCTCCTTTGTAGGTAACTTTCATTTTTCCTGAGCTGCTGTCAAGATTTTTTTCCTTGTCTTTGATTTTGGAAAGTTTGATTATGATGTGTCTTGGTGATTTTCTTTTGGGATCTATCCTGTTTGGGGTTCAATCAGGTTCTTGAATGCTTATCTTCTCGTCTGTCTTTTGTGATGTTAGGGATGTTTTCTTCCAATAGCTCTTAGACAGTTTTCTCTATGCTCTTTATTGTCTCTTCCTGTTCTGGAATTATGATCACCCATAAGTTAGTATTTTCCATGATGTCTCACACAAATCTCAGGCTTTCTTCAGATTTTTAAATTCTTTTTCTGATTGTTCTTCTAGCTTACCAGTACTGATAGACATATGCCCAAGCTCACTAATTTGGGCTTCCATTTATTCAAATCTGCTCTTTTGCCCTTTCAATGCATTGTCCATTCCTGAAATCTTAGTATCAATCTTCTGGATTTCTATCTGCAGGTTTTGTATTTCAAAATTTAAATCTATTTTGTCTGCTTGGTTCTAATAGTGTTTTCCTGAATTTTTCTAATGTTTTTTCTGTGTTTCCTTGCTTTCCTAGATCTTTCTGTCAGTTCTTTGAAGGTACCTAAATACCATTCATTTTAATTACTTCCCTAGCAGTTCCATTACTTTTTCTTCCTCAGAAGTATTTCCTGGCTCTGCATCTTAGTCATTTGTTTCAGCCACTCTCTATCTTGTTTATTTGTGTGAATGAAATCATCTGTTGTCTATGAGATATTGTCATGTTACTGTATTTGTATTTAATTGATGATTATATGTTGGTGTGTTCTTTGGCTCTTACCAACTGTCTTCTGGTGCATCTGACCAGAGAATGGAAACGTGTGTACTGTTCTCAGTTTGTAGTTTGTACAGCTCAGTTTAGGTGGGTTTGGCTGGTATTTGCTGCTGTCTACTGCTGGCTAGGTGGTATGTTGTTACTTGCTGTTTTTGTTAGGTGCCATCCAGTCAGTTTCTACTCAGAGCAACTAGGGTACAATAGAACAAAATACTGCCCAGTCCTGAGCCCTCCTCACAACTGTTGTTAACACTTGAGCCCATTGTTGCTGCCACTGTGCCAATCCATCTCATTGGGATATTCCCCGTTTTTTCATTGATCCTCCATTTTTCCAAGACTGATGTCTAGTCATAATGTTTTCACATTCCAGCACAATATCTATCAATGTTCTGCTGCTAGGCGTAAGGTTTTCAGTCACTAACTGTTCAGAACTATTCTGCCTCTCCTTCTTCCTGGTCTGCCTCAGTCTGGAAGCTTTGCTGAAGCCTGTCCTCCATGGGTGACCCTGTCGGCATTTGAAAATACTGGTGGCATAGCTTCCAGCATCACAGCACCATACCAGCCACCACGGCACAACAGACTGATAGACAAGTGGTGAATGAGGTGGGACAGGGGCCCAGGACAGAGTTGCAGAGGATACAGTGGTGGCTGAGTTGTATGGGCACAGTTGCTGTCTCCTGTCAGGTGGAGCAAGAAAACACAAACACACACAAAAAAAAACAAAATAGAAGACACAAGTAAACAACAGAAAAACTAACCAACCCAGAACAAAACCCAAAATATAATAAAAGAGAAAAAAAGAAACAAAACAGGGTGCTTCAAGGAAAAGTATAATAACTAAAAAGAGGAACAGGAAAATAGAGTGGTAGAAAATAAAAAGAAGAGAGAAAATAAAAAGAAGAGAAAAACAAACAAACAAAGAGAGGGAAGATGAAGAAAAAGAGAGCAGAGTGGTAAAGAAAAATCAAGAGGAAAAAAAGAAGAGGATGAAAATGAGAACCAGAGAAAAGAAGAAAACACAAAAGCATAGAAAGGATTAAAATCATGGAGAAGGAAAGAGAGGAGGAAGCCGAAAGAATAAACAGACAAAAACAATGAAATAATGAAAGGGAAAGCAAAAGCAAAAATAGTGCAATTGTTGGGCCCAGAGGGGAGAAAACTGTGGGTGGAGCAGGTGGCTGAGTTCCCAGCCCTAAAGGAGTTCCTATAGGCCTTGGTGCTTTCTGTGTTCAGAACCCGCCCCCCCACCCCCTGCTTCTGGAAGTAGTTTGTGGAGGTCCTTCAGGTGGCTAGTTTCAGTGTCTGTCAGAACCTCAGGGCAACAGCAGGCAGGGTGGCTGAATGTGAGGGTTCCTGCTAGTCTAATTCTGCCCTGGAGGCTCTCTTGAGTTCTGTGGATCTGGAGCTGAGCCCATCTGAACCCAGGTGCCAAGGTGTTGCAGTGGGCACCTGCCTCACAATGACAGTGGCTCACAAGTGCGCGGCTCCAAACTCCCAGAGAGCAGGGTCTGCACTGGGGGTGGCCAAGAGCGGGGCCTGGCCTCACCTCTGGGGAACCCGAAGAGATAGCACCTCTTCTGTGGCCTGTATGAATCTGCGCCATCTGTCTCCAAAACTGTTCAAGCTGTCCACACTGCATCTGTCCACACGACCGTTTACCAGTCTGTCTCTGTATTTTGCAGCCCCGCATTTTCTTCCAGTAGGTCCACATCTCTAACCTTTCCTCTGAAGTTCAGGGTTCCAAGATTGTCCTCTGTGTCTATTTCATTTGTTTTCCTCTATCTTTGTTATATGGAGTCCTGATGTAGCGCTGTGGGATAAAGCACTGGGCCACAAGGTCAGCTTGAACCACAGGGTCAGCAGTTCAAACTCACCAGCTGCTCCTTGGAAACCCTATACAGGGTCGCTATGAGTCAGAACCGACTCGACAGCTCTTAATAACAACATTTGCACAGTATACTAACCAATCTCTTTGCAAAATTGTGGCCTAGCCAATTATTTGGGCAGAATTATAAACCCAAGGATAAAAAGGTCATAAGGAAGTGAAATTTGTCTCACGACAGATAGCCACTGGCCACATCTGACTCTAAGCACTTGAAAAGTGTGCATCCAAACTGACATGTGCTGTAAGTGTAAACATACATGGCAACTTCCACACTCTGGACATGTTGGCAGGAGCGGACCAGTCCCTGGGGAAGGACGTCATGCTTGGTAGATGGACTGATACAAAAAGGCACAGGAACGGCCCCGTGTGATATTCCTGATGGAGATAGGGTCACTATATGTCACCTAACAATAACAGATTCTAAGGCTTGGACCCAAAATCAGTGTGTATAATCGTATTGATCATTTTTTTATTCATCACATGTTGAAATTGTTATGGATTGAATTGCAACTCCCTAACAGATATATTAAGGAGCTCTGGTAGCATAGTGGTTACGAATCGGGCTGCGAGCCGCAAGGTCAGCAGTTCAAAACTACCAGCTGTCCCATGGGAGAAAGATGAGGCTTTCTGCTCCTGTAAAGATTTATAGCCTTGGAAACCCTGTATAGAGTCGCTATGAGTCGAAACCGACTCCGTGGCACATAACAGCAACAGATATATTGGGAGTCCTGGTGTGGCACTGTAGGGATCAGCACTCAACTGCTAACTACAAGGTTGGCAGTTCAAACCCACCAGCAGTTCCTTGGAAACCCTATACAGGGTCACTATGAGTCAGAACTGACTCGGTGGAACTTAACAGCAACAGGTATGTTGAAGGCCTAATCCCAGTCAGTACCTGTGACCATGACCTTATTTGTAAACAGGGTCTTTGCCTATGTAACAAGGTTGTATAGGGGTAGGATGGGTCCTAATCTAATATGAGAGGGACACAGAAGAAACACTTACAAGCTAAGGACCCCCAGCTGTCACCAGAAGCTAGGAGCAGCCTTGAGTACCCTCCCTCACGGCACTCAGGAGACATCAACACGGCTGACACCCTGATTTGGACTCCGGATCTCAAAAACCAAGACACAATAAACATCCATTCTTATTAGCCACCCAGAGTATGGAACTTTCATAAAGCAGCCCTAGGAAACGAATACAGTAATATACTGGTGGTAAATAAAATTTCTCACATTCATTTCCACTTGTTTCTTTTTACTTTTTTAATGTGGCTGTTTTGTTGTTGTTCGAAGTCCTGGTGTGGCACTGTAGTATCAGCACTGGACTGCGAACCACCAGGCCAGCAGTTCAAACCCACCACCTCCATGGAAAACCTATATAGGGTCGTTATGAATCAGAACCACCTCAATGTTACTTAACATTTTGTTGTTAGCTGCAAGCAAGTCAGCTCGGACTCATGACAAGCTTGTTGTTAAGTGCCATCGAGTCAATTCCGACCCATAGCAACCCTGTATAGGGTTTCCAAGGAGCAGCTGGTGAGCTTGAACTGCCGACCTTGCAGTTCAAACAGCTTTGCAGTCTGGCGCATTAACCCACAGCGCCACACCAGAGCTCATGACAAGCTTATGTATAACAAAATGAACATGTAGTCCAGTATCCTCTTCATATGTGTTGGTATGTTTGAGTTCAATGTCGGCACCATGTAGCAATCCATCTCACTGGGGGTAGGAGGACTCCCTCATTTGCATGTGTCTTCTACTTCGTTTCTCCATGGATCTTCCCCCATGACACGTCCAAAGTAGGCAAGCTTTGCCATCCTCACTTCCAAGGAGCACAGTGAAATTACATGGGTGACTTACACAGTATTTGTATGTTCGGACAGCTCACAATTTAAGCAGTATTTGTATGCGGAAATATAATTAGAAAAGGTATGTTCATTTTCTGTAGCACCTGCTTCCACCATGATTGAATTACATGAGAGCTTTATTTCCCCCCTCCGTCTCCCATAACTTGGAAAATTAGAAGGAACAACCGCAGAGCTACACATCGTGAACCAATAAATGGAGGAAATTGAAAGAGGTTGTTGGCAATAAGAATCACCCGTCTTGTCCTAAAAGGACCTGAGAACATGTTTACGTGGACTTTGAAACCGTTCACTTTCTAAAACAAACCAAAGGACAAAGAAAAACAAAATGTTCTGAGGTTGCTTTTATTCCAAGAATTCTGGGAGCTGTGTCCAGACGCCACCGGCGCCTGCTGGTCCCCACAGCACCCACACACAACAGCACCGTGACGGCGCCCAGGAGCTCTGGAGCCCGGAGTCCTTGAACAGTCAATGTGACTGAGTCCGCCATCGAGGGCCATCCTGGCCGCCCCCGAGTGGTCCCTCTGCATACCCTACTCCTCAGGCGGGTGAGGAGCGGGACGGAATGCCCATTGGGCCCATGCATCTGGGATCCTGTGTACCCTGCAGCCCTGCTGATCTCCAAAGGCAGCCCCCATTCAGAAATGGGATTTCTGCAGTCATGGGCTTCTACTCTGTCTACCAGGTTCCAGATGCCTCTGCCTGGAGCCTCTGCCCAGGCAGGGAGTGGCCACGTCCTGGGCCAGAGCCAATCACTGTCCTCTAGCAGCCTGAGAGAGCAGGCCCCGGCGAGGAGGCTACGAGGAGGCTAGGAGGCAGCTGCGGGCTGGATCAGGATGGTGGTGGCCTGCAGTGGGTAGTAGCGGCCCCGCCAGGTCTTCCAGAAGATGCCCTTTTTCCGCTCCTGCCTTTGCCGTGGGATAGAGTGAAAGTAATGGCCGTTGAGATTGGAGTGGCTGCAGGTACCGAACCACCAGCCACCTGTGGGGTCAAGTGGGAGGGAGCACAGTTAGGTTGGGCCTTCATTAGGTCTGGGTTGGGGATGGGGTTATTAGGACTGGGGTGGACATGGGGTTGAGGTTGAGGATGGGATGAAATTGGGGTGGTTGATAGGATGGAGTTAGGCTGGAGATAGGGTAGGTAGGATGGAGTTAAGGTTGGAGATAGGGTTGGGGCTAGGGGTGATCTTTGGACTTTACACCTAGTAGGTGGGACTTTGACAGTGGTTGCCAAACTGTGTTCTGAGGAGCCCCAGGTTATGACAGAGAGGGATTGGGTCCCCTCTTCTTAACCCAAACAAGTCTGCTCTCACACCTGTGACATTGGCAAGTCACATCTCTGCACTTGGCACATGGTGAACATGTATTAAACACTTTCCACATTGTCATCAGTTTCAATCTGTATTTGGTTCAGCCACATTAAATTACCAAGAACGCCAGCGTTTTTGGACTCACCAAAAAAGCTGCTTCATAGAGCCAGCACTCTGCCTCCAATTTCTTTAGAACAAGACAGGGTTGGTTTTCGTGGCTTTACCATGGCCTCATTGAATTTCCATAGTAACCCCAAGAAGTAAGTACCACACTTATACCCATTTTAAAGATGGGAAAACTGAGGCTGAGAGATTAAATCAGTCACCCAAAGCACTCAGCAAGTAAAGGGAAGAGGGGTGCAGGGACTAGGTGGAATTTGGGGTTAAGGGCTGAGTCAAAAACCAGAGACAGGGAAGGGAGGGCTGCAGACTATGTAGGACAATGTGGAGTGGGGCAGGGCTTGCGCACCGGAGAGGGTCTTGGCACAGTTCTTGTCCCCGCGGAGGTCGTGGTCCTGGTCCCAAGTGGAGAAGGGCAGGGAGAGGCCGCTGGGTGCAATAGCAGTGGCGCCCAGTTTGCTGGCCACAGGCGCTGTGAGCTGTAGAGTGTACGCTGTGTCCTCACCGCCCAGCTGGACGGGGAACTGCAGAGACTCAGCGTTGCCTTCCCAGTCCTGCAACTGCACGGCTAGGCGCCCACCGTGGCCCCCTGTGATGCGGTGCACCTTCTCCAGGCCCAGCCAGAACTCACCTGCAGTGGGAAGAGGTTGTGTCAGGGGAACCACCCCACAGTCAACCCCCCTCCTGCACCCTACACCCTGGGCCGCTGGAAATACCCACCTTGGGGGTCCCCAAAGCCTGCCTTGTAAGCTTCCCATGATCGGTCAAAGTCCACAGAGCCATCCTGGCGCCTCTGGATCACTGTCCAGCCTCCATCTGTCCAGAGAAGGGGGAAGGTGAGCAGGAGAACCCTCCTCATGGGATCCCTGATGTGCCCATCTGGCTCCCAAACCCAGGACGGGGGTGAGACACTCCTTAAGCACTTCAGGGAACTGGAGGAAGGCCAGTTGGAGAAGAGACTGTGTAGGCTCACAGACCCTGAAGCAAGGAGGAGGCAGGGAGGACCAGCAGAAGTGGCTGACTCCCAGGGACTCCCAAGACGGGCTACACCCCATCCTCCTGCAAGGCCCAGTCCGCTCACTGTGGGAACCCATCTTGGAATGGGGAAAGGGCAGTGTTTTACAGAACAAGGGGTCCCGTGACCCCTCACACTGGTACCAAAAGGACGCCTCCTACCTGAGGTCATCTGGCAGTTGACCAGAAACGGTGGGGACCCCTGTGGCTGGATTTGGAACAGTCCACTCTGCCGCTCACCCTCTTCAAAGAGCTCCTGGCAATCTCTGGGCAGTCCTGTGTACAGACAGAGGGAGCATGAAGCAGGAGGCAGCCTGGGCTCTTAGTACTGAGAGTGGAGCAGAAGGTGACAGGCAGGGAAGGGACAACTCTGTTCCCAGCTTCCTTTCACCCAGACTCTTCATGGTTACCTGGCTTTCCTTCCCTACCTCCCACTGTCTTCCTTGTATCCCCTGCCACAGGGACTTAGAACATGTCAGTCCCTCTGCAGAGCTGCGGCCCTCACCTCTCTCAGCCTCATCCTTCAAGTGTTCGCTTCTGGAAGGAAAAACACCTTTCCTGACCTCCCCAATCAGTAAAACCAGCTGCTATCAAGACTCACGACAACTCCATAGTGTTTTAGAGGCAGCGGATCACCAGGGCTTTCTTTCAAGGTACCTCTAGGTAGGTTTGAACCATCAACCTTTTTACTTAGCAGCCAAGTGCTTTAATCACTGCACCCGCTGGGCCTGACTTCCTAAAATGAATATTGTGTGCTTTCTGTATCTCAGGACTGGGGTCTTCTGGAAGTTCCCTCATGTAGCTAAGAACAGGAAGTAGCTTTTGGCCCACACCCTGACTCTAACACTCGTTTATTCTGGCTCACAGTAACCAATGAAAGCGCACACAAGTTGCCACCAGGTCAGTTCTGACTCATGTGTGCAGAGTAGAAATGGGATCCAGAGGGCTTTTAAGACTGTGAGCTTTGGAAGGAGATCACCAGGCATTTCTTCTGAAGTGTCTCAGCGTGGGCGTGAACTACCAACTTAACCGTTTGTGCCACGCAGGAACTACATTAGCCCATAGTAGATATTCAGCAAAGGAGAGATGGGTGGAGATATGAATGACAGACACGTGAACGTTAGAAGGAGCTGGCTGCAGGCATGGGGTCTGGTTTCCTTTGTGTGGGGAATGCGGATGGGGCCTGGAGGGGGATTTGGGGAGAAGGCGGCAGAGGTCCTGGCCCAGAATCCCAGCTAAAGGGAAGAAGGGGGTAAGACTGATGACAGACGGAGGGAGGAGGCAGGCTGGCGTCAGGCAACTAGGGAGGATCATCGGGAAGTCCCCACCCCCAGCCCTGCCGAGGAAAGTAGGGGAAAGGTTGCGGGGGAGGGACGCGCTGAAGACACAAGCGAGTGTGTCTAGGCTGCGGGGGTGGGGGGCGGGACCCAAGCGCTCGGAGTGCATTTTCCGGCCCCTACGGCAGCTCCCCTTTCCCCTACTTCCCTCCCGTCCAATCAGCACTGGCGCCGGGCCGAACTACCAATGTGGCCTTCATTAGCGCCAGCTGTTTGTCTTCCCAACGCTAAACTTTACTCTACTTGGCTGGCGAATCGTGGAGTATGGGAGTTCCGAACCTATGTCCACCACCAGTACATGCTCCAGCCGGCTCTCCCAAAATCCTCCTCCCAAGGTCGTGGTTGGGGAGGGTGTGCGTGACCCTCCCCACACTGGGCAGCTGGCCTTAGAGTTGGATGTGGGGTAGCTTGGGGCAGGAGGGCTCTCCTGGCTAGAGGGCTAGAAGCCAGCACCCAACTCAAGGGTGTGAAGGGGACATTGGAACTTTCACTCAGTTGGCGACAGACATGCCTTGCTGGATGACCACGGAGGTCCACGGCACAGGCAGGTCTGGGGCCATGAACGGAGGGTGGAGCAGAGACAGCAAGCGTGGCAGGCATGCCTTACACAGATCATACACAAACACAAGGGTCTTCAACTTGAGCTTTGGGAGATTTGGGACATACACAATAAAAGGAGCCGGTTCTTGGGTTGGTGACAAAGGCCTCTCTCCTAGGACCTGACTCCCTGCAAGGGTTGGGGTGGGGGAGATTCTGGAGGTCTCTGGGGCCAGAGAAGGACCCCAGGTGGTGGTGTAGGGTAAGCACTAGACTGCTAACCACATGGTTGGTAGTTCAAATCTATCAGCTGCTCTTTGGGAGAAAGATGACATTTTCTGGTTCCATAAATATTTACAGACTCCAAAACCCTGTATAGGGTTACTGTGAGCTGGAATCGAGGATGGCAGCGGGTTTTTGGGGGGTTAGGGACCCTTGGTTTGTAGAAGATGCAAAAATGAGTGTGTCTAGCTAGGAGGTGGGCTCCTTGCCTGGCCTCCCTACATCCACTCCCTGCAGAGACCTTGTAAGGGGCCTAGCCTCAGAATGCCACTCCCAGCTAGCCATTCTCGCCTCATCCTGTATCATGCTACCAACCCTAGACCCTCCTGTCCACCATCACACCCTTCCAAAGCTTCGATCTTCCAGGAAAGTGTTGGTCTGGATTCTCTGACTCATCCTTGAAGCTTAAGTACCCTATTGTCCTTCTTTGCAACCCTTCTCCAATTAGTGTTAGCAAGTCTGTGGCTTGCTGGAAGGTAGAGTGGGTGACCCTGCTGTGCAGGTTCAGGGCTGAAAGGATAGAAGTGCCCTGTTAGATAGGTGTCCCTGGGGACCAGGTGAGTCCTCAGCATCCCAGGACCAGGTCATTCCCCCTTGGGACAGACAAGGAGGGATGGGCAAGTGAGGGGATCATGCCAAAGACCAGCAAAGGGCTAGGTACTCACTGTGCAAGCGGCTGGCATTGTGAGCAGGGGCCATGTGCTGCGCCATCTTGGGGAGCCTCTTTCCCCTGGCAGGTTTAATCATCTCATGATCCAGGTGTGTGGAAGTCAAACGGCTCACCTGTGGCAGGTCAGGAGAAGGCTGTCAGGTCCAGCTGGCTCAGGCTGCAAGACCTGCCCAGCTCTGCATCTGGCGCTATAGGTCCAGCGTGGCCCCCCCTCCCTGCCTGGGTCAGACTAGGCACCTGGTTCTGCAGATTTTGGATCTTCAAGCGCTGCTTCTCCAGATGTTGTTGCTGCTGAGTTATTTTCTGAAAGAGCTGCTCGATCCTGCTGTTCTGAGCTTTGAGCTGCATCTAGGAAGGGAAAAGGCCAATCCCTGGTAAGGAGCAAGCTTCTGCCTCCAGACTTACCATTCACTCACCTGCCAGTCCTTCCATCTCTCCATCCTTTGGGGCCCGAGAACAGGGGGCCCAGGGAGGAGACCGTGGATGCAACCCTCTCCCGTCCATACCCATCCAGGTCTGTCCCGGATGGACGTACCTGCAGGCTGCGCAGGGCTCCGGGTGCGGCCTCATCGCTGGGGCTTGGGCTCGCAGGAGCATGCGAGGGCTCAATGGTCTCCAAGGCCAAACCACAGGAGGCTCCGCACGCACCCAGGCGCCGCTCGAGAGCGCCCAGCTGCCCTCGGGTGCGCTCCACGTGCTCGCGGAGCCCGTGACCGAGCTGCAACAGCCCGTGAGCCAGCACGTTCATCTCGTCCCAGGACGCGAAGCGCGGCGGTTCGGGCGGTGCAGGGCGGCCCTGTGCGCTCAGCAGACCGGCAGTGGCGGCGCACAGCACCAGGGCTGCGCCGGCTGAAGGCACGCAGCGCATCTTCCTCGCCGACCTGGAACTAGGATGCCGGAACACAGAGCTCAAGGCAGACGCGGGGCGCGAGGAGCGCAGAAGCCGCGGGGTCCTGGACGAGATGCGCTCGAGTGCAGAAGATACTCGGGAGTACCGGCACTGTAGTTGTGGGCCTGCTAGGTTCAGAATGCCAGTAGGGTGCCCAAGGCCCCTTTTTATAAGCCTTCTGCGGGGGTGGGGCAGGGAACCTCAGAGGCGGGGCGCTGGGAATACCGGGGCGGGGCGTGCGGCAGGGGAAGGGTCCTTGTGCATTGGAGGCGGGTGATTTTGAGGAGGGGGTACCCGAGGATGCAAAACTCTGGCTCCTCCCCTGTGGCCTTCCCTAGTGGAGACAGAAGAGACGTGATTCTTCGTACGTTCCACGTCCTCCCCTCCGAGCGTCGGAATTGAGGGCTCCCCCCGGCCCCCCACTCCCCGCGCCATAAGTCACACTGTGTGTTAAAGGGAGCTCACGTAAGTCCGTGTACAGGGGTGGGCGGCGGCATTCCTGACGCCTCCCCAATTCAAAAGTTGGAATAAGGGGGGTAATGTGAGAGCGACTAATGAGAAGTCTTTGGTGAGTCAGCGGGGACACCCCGGCCGGGCATGCGGGTGGGGGAACCCGGAGCGTCTGGAACATCTCCTACTCTGGATAGGAGGTGTTACTGGAATCGACCGACTAGACCCTCGGAGGGACGTCTCAGGGCTCCCACGCTCCTTGATTGCAGATGTTTGTGTGGTTCCTAACCGACTTCCTGTTCCCCAGCCGCCCAACTGTGAAACTTCCAGCCCGGTCATGACACACCCCTACCCCCAGGTCTTCAGCGTTTGTGTCTTTGCGTGTACCGCCAGCAGGAGCAGGAACAGAACGATGAGACCCGTGGAGGGATGGCCTCCCTCCTCATTCATTCATCAATAACTAAGACTGTTACTCTCTCTGGGGAGAGTCCCAAACCTGCCCAACTCACGACGACCTCACGTGTTAATGGAGTAGAGCTGCTCTTCACAGAGTTTTCTAGCCTGTGATCTTTACAGGGGACTCCTGGTGTGGCGCCGTAGGATCAGCGGCGGACTGCTAACCTCAAGGTCGGCAGTTCAAACCCACCAGCTGCTTCTCAGCAACTGGGTACAAGGTTGCTATGAGCCAGAACCGACTCGACAGCACTTAAGAGAATCAACCAAGCCTTTCTTCTGAAGTGCAGATGGGGAGATTTGAATCACCAACCTTTAAATTAGTCACCGAGACCTTGCGTGGTTGAGAGACCCCAATACTCTGAGCGTGGGGTAGTGGCAATGTTGGGGCTGGGCCAAGTTCATTCTACAAAGAGCAGGCATTTATTCAACATTTCCTTGAAACTCTTCCTCCCCTCCAGTTCTGATACCATGTCAGGAGAGAAGGCTGGCACAGAAACGCTGTCTGCCAGGAAGAACCCAGGGCAGGTTGGCCCAGATCATGGACAAGAAGAATGGAGTTGACTCAGCAGGGCATTGAGCCAGCTGGATTCAGGAACCTGAAACTGACGTGACAGTGGCCACCCTTACACAGGGGCCTGCTGGGCAGGCTGCCAGAATGACTGGTCCCAGCAACAGTGACAGACAGGCGGGAAAGAGCACAGAGGAAAACCCCACCTGACCAAGCAGCTGGCCTCTGGGGACATAGCTATCTCAGGCTACCCTGTGCTCTCTTCCTCCCAGCCCCTGCCTACAAACTTGTTTCTTGCACTTTGAGAAATGATTGATTCAGAGCCCAATTCACTGGGTTTATTTGTCCCAGGGTAGGGGACAGTGGTGGTTCCATGTGAGACTTGTCATCTTCCACACAGGAGAGAGATCCAGATTAGATTCTCTACCAATGGAGGCTTGCACGTGGCCGGAATGCTGGATAGTTTAGTGGAACTTCCAGACTGAAAATGGACTAAGAAGGAAGACGTAGCAATCAGCGTCCGAAAATCAGCCCTATGGATCACAACGGTGTGATTTGAAACCAATCTTGAGGAGGACGCAGGACCAGGAAGTTGTGCATGGGGTCACCATTAGTCAGGACTAACAAGATAGCAACTGACCACAACTTTCCCCAACACGGTGGTCTTTTCACAATCTTAATTTTCAGGGGTTTCTCTGTTCCAGGTTTCAGAGAGCACAAGAATTACCAAAGGCCCTTGGAGGCATCCATCCAACTGTGAACTAGCTACAAAAGAATTCGTCCTGTGGCCAGGAGCTGCCTCTGGATTTTATCCTAAAAACTGTTGTTATGCGGCATGTGCCCTCTGACCCAGTAAGGACACAGGCACCCTGATGGGGTGGTGGTTTATTGTGTACCTAGGAGCTCTGGAAGCATAGTGGCTATGAATCGGGCTGCTAACCTCAGGGTCAGCAATTTGAAACTACCAGCTGTTCTGTGGGAGAAACATGAGGCTTTCTGCTCCTGTAAAGATTTACAGCCTCGGAAACCCTGTACAGGGTCACTATGAGTTGGAACCGACTCCACGGCACATTACCACCACCACCAGTGTGTACCTGGTCCCGTACTGGAGCCATATGGTGGACAAGACCCAGTCCCCTCAAAGTGGCATTAGAAGGTTACGTGGGGGCTACACTATCTCATCAGAAAAGCAGTGAGGTGGCCTGTTGTTTTTATGAGCTCTGGGACAAGACATGTCATGGACTGTCCTTCCAGCTCTCTCCAGGATCTAAATTACTGGGGGTAGGCAGAGGGGGGGAAACAACACTGTAAATATGACCCTGTTTGAAGATAAAACTTTTCTTCTTTGGTGTTACCAAGGCAGTGCCAGAGTCCAGTGGGTTCTAAACCTAATAAGTTCTGAGTGATCACTATACATATATATGTTGGTGCTGTTCAGTGACTTGGAGTCGGTTTGAACTCATAACGACCCTCCCTGTATAGGGTTTCCAGGGAGTGGATGGTAGGTTTGAACCACCCACCTTTCAGTTAGCAGTCCAGTGTTGATTCTACAGCACCACACCAGGATGCCACAAACATATGTTGTTGTTGTTAAGTGCCGTCGAGTCAGTTCTGACCCATAGCGACCCTGTACAGGGTTTCTGAGGCTGTAGATCTTTATGGGAGCAGAAAGCCTCATCTTTCTCCGGCAGAGCGGCTGGTAGTTTCGAACTGCTGACCTTAAGGTTCACAGCCCAATTTGTAACCACTACGCTACCAGAGCTCCTACAAACATATGTAGAAAAAGATAAATGTACATACAGTCCACCCTCCATATCCACAGGGTTCTGTATCCATAGATTCAACCGACCTTGCAATGAAAATATTGTGTTTGGTGGTTGTTGTTGTGGCTAAGTGCTGTGGAGTCAGTTCCGACTCACTGTTACCCTGTAAAGGGTTTCCAAGGAGTGGCTGATGAGTTTGAACTGCCAACCTTGGGGTTCAAACTGACCTTGCCCTCAAGTACTTGTGTGGTTGTTGTTGTTGTTGTTAAGTGCCGTTGAGTCGGTTCCGACCCATAGCGACCCTGTACAGGGTTTCCGAGGGTGTAAATCTTTACGGGAGTAGAAAGCCTCATCTTTCTCCCGCGGAGCGGCTGGTAGTTTCGAACCGCTGACCTTAAGGTTCGCAGCCCAATTCGTAACCACTATGCTACCAGAGCAATGAAACGGCCAAAGGAATCTCTCAAAGGTGAAGACAGATTAAAAAGTGTTATTGGCATAGCATTTACATCGTATAAAAGTGACAAAAACCAAGCTCACTGCCTTTCTGTTGACTTTGACTTTTGGCAGATCTCATATAGAGTTTCTGAGACTGCACATCTTCACGGGAACAAACAGCTTTGTTTTTCTCCCGCAGAGTGACTGCTAGTTTTGAACCATCAACCTTGAGGTTAACAGCCCAGAGCCTATCCCATAGTGCCCCCAGGACTCCTTTTTCTTTATATTTGTTGTTATTGTTGTTAATTCTATGTTGTTGATGTTGTTAATGTACCATGGAGTCGGTTCCTACCCATGGCGACCCTGCACAGGGTTTCCGAGGCTGTAAAGCTTTACGAGAGCAGAAAGTCTCATCTTTCTCCCGTGGAATAGCTGGTAGTTTCGAACTGCTGACCCTGATGTTAGCAGCCCGATTCGTAATCACTACGCTACCAGAGCTCCGTAATTCTTTATATAGGTATAAGTCATCTAGAGATAAATTACATGGGAGGATGTGCTTAGGTTATGTGCAAATACATTTTAGTACCATTGAGTCGGTTCTGACTCATAGCGACCCTGTATAGGGTTGCAAGGAGCACCTGGTGGGTTTGATCCATCGACCTTGCCATTAGCAGCCCATTGTTTATGTTACAGCCCCAGAGAGGCTAAAGCAATTGGCTGTTAACTGAAAGGCTAGCATCGGAAAGATATAATCTTGGAAAAATTTATAACCTTTATTCTATAGGGTTGATACAAGTCAACATCAACTTGAGAGCAGTGAATTTATATAAGGAACTTAAGCATGCAAGGATTTTGGTCTCTGCAGGGCTCCTGGAACCAATCCCTCACAGATACTGAGATAATACATACACATATATGTTAAGTGTTATCCAGTCCAATTCACAATCATTGTGATATCTCAGCCCATTATTACGACCACTGTGTAACTCCATCTCATTGGAGGTCTTCTTCTTTTTCGCTGACCCTCCATTTTACCAAGTATAATGTCCTTCTCCAGGTACTGGTCTATCCTGATGACATATCCAAAGTCAGACAATGTTCCATTGTGATCTTGAACAGAACATTCCTGAAGAATTATGTGCTCTTCGATTTATACCACGTCAAAGGGACTCAAATTGTGTTCCTTCTCAATGTTCTTTGAGTTTGGGGGACAAAAAGAAGTCTGAAGGGAGAAATGAAGGCTGGAGGGTGGATGGGGTAAGATTTCCTAACAAAATGCTCAGATAACAGTCCTGGCCACCCTTGAATGAGCAGATGAATTGTAATGTGGGAAAGAAATCTTCCATGCAACTTTGTTGGCCTTGTTT